GCCAAAGGCTACATTACAAATAATATTAATACATGACAGGACAAAAAAAGTGTTTACCTGTATTGTTGATTGTGCAATTTAAATGCACCTCGAGGAGTATGTAGCACAAAGATTCCCATCCAATAAAACCACCCATCACTTTCATCAGCCAATGGTCCAGTGTGCTATCAATCAACTTCAGACCAGTAAATATGGCAGCCACTGTGTGAAGTCACATTAAACAAGTCATTTCAGTCAGTTTGTATGTAGTTTGATTAATTATTAACCTTTGAGAGAGTGTACCAATTAGAACATAAAATGTCTATCAATGCAAAATGAAAGAAGAGAGCTTACCAGCTAAGGTTTTTATGACCACCGCATTTAAAGCATGGGACCAGTTAAACAGAAATCTCCTGTCAAATAAAGAAGAAAAATATTAAATGATCAGCTGCTGACAAAAGCTTGTCCTCACTAGAAGAACAACACTGGTCATTGAATACAATTATAAATGGTTTGTATTTATAAAGAGCTTTTTTAGTCTTGATGACCACTCAAAGTGCTTTACAGTACAGTTTTCCATTCACCTATTCTACTATCGAGTAGCAGCACTTTTTGGTCTATGAGGGGCTATTTGGGGTGCAGCATCTTGCTCAAGAACACTTTGGCATGCAGATGGGGAAGACTGGGGATTGAGCTGCTGACCATCTGGCTGGAAAACGACCACTTTACTACTACTCCTCAGCCACAGCCACCCGCCAATTTGTATTGACAGTACTATTCAATGAGCATAGTGCTTACCCACTTCTAAACCGCCTATGGTGAGTATAATTCACTCGGGTCCTGCAAGCCAAATTTTTTCCACGGACAGCAAAAGCATCACCCAATCATCCGATTGGTTAGTTAGGAGAGTATACCAAATTCCAATAGAACAAAAAAGGTGCTGCTAATAGATGCACTGAATACAATACAACAAGTATGAACAATCCTGTGCACACAGGCAGGACTATGTGTACATTTGTTATAAACACAGTGTCACACATTGCCACAAGAAGCATTGTCTCTAGACTGCTCTTTGTTTTTTCTTGACATAATTGAGATGTATGCCAATGAGCTCCAACATGTTGTATAAGTGTGGTTTTCTCTTTCATTTATGTATATTAAGACATCCAACCAGGCAAGGTAAGGTTGAAGTGTGCTTAGCTTGAATTAAATGCTTCAGTCAAAACATATAATCCTAAACCCTAACAAACGCAGACTTTTACATTTTGATGCCCCCCCCAACACAAAAACATTCAAGTTTGTTGTTCACAAACTTGAATGTTTTTATTTCAAAATTATCTTACTACTATTAACTTCTGACATGAAATATATACATTATGGATTTTGGACATTTAAGGAGGGAGAAGGAGATGTTTCAAGAGTTGTAACAACTTTTTAGTTGAAAAAAAATCAGACAGAAGTTATCCAAAGTGTGTATGTGTGTGTGTGTGTGTGTGTGTGAGAGAGAGAGAGAGAGAGACACATATACACACAACATAGTACGTACAGTGGATGTTGTGGTCCACAACGCATCAGTGCCAGTATGGGCTGGAGGAATGAGAGGATCATAACCAGGCAGCCCAACACTGGATGGGCTCCCTGCAAACAGAACACAGCGACACTGACACATACCATACCACACATACGCCTTACACTATTTCCAGTGCTTGGTTCAGATGGCTAAAAAATAAATCTGGATACTACTTGAGGAATATAAGCACAGAATAAAGGAAGAATTTTGAAAAGCATCATAAGACTGAGAAACTTCACATTGAGTAAGTAATTACAGAGACACTACGGCATCACCCTTAAACACAACGGTGCTCTTTTAAGTACTAAACATGAGCATCTTCGAAAGAGCATCCTCCCTGCTGTAACTCTGTCTGTGCCTGGGTCTGTTGATGTGGCCGTGACTGTTAAATACACAACTCCCACACCTTAAACCTAAATCCTTTAACAAGCAGCACGGTTTCATGTCATGACAACAACAATGTTCTCCTGTCACACAATTGCACCTTTTTCATAGATATGCACCTCAGAGTCTTATGTGTAATCAGGAGCCCATGAGCACAATTTTCTTGCTGCGTGTGGACAGTGTTCATGCCACTGTCTATGCGTAGCATTTCCTTTCCTCATCCTTCAGTGTGTGAGAATGTTAACACTCCTCAATGTCATGTTTATGAGCCATCCCATGAACAGAGGCTTATGGAGTCACATCACCTGTCTTTTCTGTGGGTAAGTGGATGTGTGATGCGCTCACCAGAGATAGCTGCACGGCCTTTTCGGTGCGAGCTTCCCATGGGTTGCCACGGAGAAGAATCTGACACAGGCTTTGCTCGTTTCCACGACAACAGTGGCGTGACAGTCAAATGCACATCTGCTTTCAGAACACTACTCAGAGTGGCGGCACATATGTTCACTCTACAGGTGGATGGACAGGCTGGAGACAGTCCTGTCATCTGGAGAAGAGTGTCTCACTCTCCAAGCCACAGGACTCCTAGTGAAAATGCAATCTCCAGAGTTGCCCCTGGATCAAGAAAGCCAGGGAAATTTACTCCCATTCCTAAAAAGACGGGCAGGTCGAGACCCATCCTGGACCTGTCACCGTTCAATAAGTGGATAGTTGGAGGACCCTTTCACCAAGGTTGTGCAATATACTGATTTCATCTGAAACTTAAAGAGCCTGAATAAAGTTGAGGAT